GCCCCCCCCCCCTCCGCTCTGCCTCTGAACCGCCCCTCCCTCTGTCCCTGCGAAGCACGACAGCTGCCCCGTGTGCCGGAAAAGCCTCACGGGTCAGAACACAGCCACCAACCCCCCGGGCCTGACCGGCGTGAGCTTCTCGTCCTCGTCGTCCTCGTCGTCCTCCAGCTCGCCCAGCAACGAAAACCCGGCCGGCAACTCCTGAGCCCCCCGCCCCCGCCTCGGGCCGGCCCCCAGCCTGAGCACAGGACCTCGCCCGCACCAGGCCCTGCGGGGAGGTGAGGGGGGCGCCGCGAGCTGGAGCCTGGAGGTGCCCCCACCCGCCTCGGCTCCCACATCGCCCCCCCCACGGCGGGCAGAGACTCGGACGACCACCGCCTCCAGGCTGGAGCAAGCTCCGCCCTCCCCATGGTTGTCTGGCCCAGGGCCTGGGCACACGGCGCCCCTGGGGCGTCCCCGGCTCCCCCACCCGTTTGTCTCTAACCTCACCCTCCACACAGTCAACGGCGGAAAGGTTTTTATAATTTTAAATTATTACTGCTTTGAAATAAATGGACGTTTTAGCTCACATGCGGCCCTGCATGATCTGTGGAAAGACCGGGTGGAACCACTAGGCCGGGGTCTCCGCGACGCCTGGACAGGCCACCAGCCCCCAACCCAAGCACAGGGGGCTCGGGACCACAGGATGACCAGCAAAACAAGAACAAAACTGCTCCGACAGACGTTTTTTAAAGGAAAAAATACGTGTATCTTGAAAGCTATTTAAAAATACACCTACTTAGAAAGAAAAGCAGGTGGTTGGCGTTTTCCTTCCGCGCGGGCGCTGGGGGCGGGCCGAGCTGTGCGGCCGCGAGGTCGGGCTTCTCGGGCGTCAGCCAGCTCTGCGGCCTCAGACCCGACCCGGGAGCGCGCCAGCAGCCCCCCCCCCGCCCGAAGACGCCAAAGCTTCCCTGAGCGTGAAGGCCGTGGCCGCCGGAAAAGCCCCGGCCGCGGGAGCCCTGCCCGCGGGGCCGCTGACTGCGCATGTTTGCGTGGCTACGGGGACCAGCGGCCTCCACCGACCGCCGTGAGCGCCCTCCGTCTGCCCGCTCCCTGCCTTCATCCTCTGTATTGTAGTGGGGGGGGGCTGCGGGGAGGGGTGGGAGCCTGCGCCCCGCCCCAGGGACTGTCGCCCTCCCCACGCGGAATGTCCCACTTCGCCCGGGGTGGGACACCCGAGCGGAACTGCCGGGCCCAGCTCGGCTGGGGTTTGAACCTGGGCTCTGCACCCCTTTTCCTTCGGCTGGGGCTCAGCCTGGCGGTGAGGGCACAGGGGTGCTGGGAGGGCGGCAGCCGCGGCTGCCCCGGGTCCCGCCAAGCCCCTGGAGGATGCTGGCACGGGGCCCCGATGGCCTGCACGTGGCACCCACTCCCACTCCCAGCCCTGCCCGCCCCACGGGAGCGCGGGAGCTCTGGAGCTCTGACCGCGGTTGCAGTGCAAGCACCTCCAGACTGCACGCGCCCGTGTGTTTGCTCTACGGCCGCTGTGACCACCACACACCGATTCTCTGACAGTTCTGGGCTCAGAAATACAGAATGGAGGGCTGGTGTCCCCTCCTCCCCCCGCGGCCCCCGGGAGACCCGGCTCTGGCCTCTTCCTGGCCCGCGGCCCCCCTCCATCCTCACCGCCAGCGGCGCGGGGTCTGCCCATCTCTGGGACTCCCACCCTCTGCCTCCCCCTCGTGAGGACCTCTTGAGGACACCGGGCCCCCCGGGAACCCAGGGTCACCCCCTCCTCGGGGGCCCTGACAAGGTCCCCTCTGCCGCGGGAGGGGACACGTCCCAGGTCCCGGGACCAGGACGGGGACCGGTCACCCCGTGGCATGTCCATGTCGCCCTCTTTCCCCCAGCCCTCAGACCTCACTCTGCCCCAGCCTCTCCCACCTCCTCCCTGCCTCAAACACCCCAATGGGCTCCCACCTCAGAGCTTTGCCTAGGCCACGTCTCAGCCCTTTGGTGACTACATGGCCCTGTCCTTCAGGCTCCATCCCCGGGGTGGGGCCTTTCTGGGGCCTCCGTGCCCCACCCCCCGCTTGTGACTGGACACCTGTGGCCTCTGCTCAACTCAGTGTCCACCTCCCCTCCAACTCAGGAGCTCCCTGGGGGTCAGGCCGTGTCTGTGGGGGTCCCGCAGCACCCCCAGCCGGCCACACAGCAGACACTCCATGAATCCTTGGGGAAAAGACGAGTGACCAGACGTGCTTGGCCACGGCCTGAGCTCGCCGGCCCCCGGCCCCTGGACATGCAGCTCAGGCATGCTGCGGACCTGGGGACTTCAGGAGACCAGGACAGGCAGGAAGTGGGTGGACAGGTGGTGCCGCTGTGTCCGGCCCCCACGCCGCGGGGCCCCCTGCCCATCCAGCGCCAGGAACATGGGCCGACCACGGTGACGCCAGCGGAGGGAGGCGTAGGTGTTGTAGCCGTTCTCCTCGATGCGCTCCTGGAACCTGCAGTGGGCAGTGTAGACCCGCTTCGGGGGGGTCGGGTGTGTGAGGTGGGCCACCGGACACCCCCCCCACCAGACACCCGCCCACCAGAAGCCCCACGAGCTGCACTCACCGACCCGTAGAGGTGGCCCCCGCGGTTCATGGCCACGTAGAAGCCCGTGTGCACAGCCTTGAGGGCCACGACGCCCACGTGGATGGAGCGGATCTCAATGATGCCTGGGGGTGGGGAGGTTGGGGGTGGGGTTGGTTAGGGCCTGCCGCCCACCGTCCGCTCATCCACTTACTCTGGCTGGCTCGTTCTCGCAGGTAACACTCACCAAGCGCTTACTGTGTGCTTGGCCCTGGCTTGTGCCCTGACACAGGGGAGCACAGAGGCCCTGCCAGGAGCACTCCAAGGATGGGGCTGATGGAGGGGCAGGAAGGACTCTCAAGCCAGTGTGAAGACCTGAGGCAGGACGGGCCCTGCCAGGCGGGAGGACGTCAGCCCGGAGGGGCCGGCCTCTTGGGCCCTGAGGAGCCCCAGCCAGGTTGGAAGCTCAGAGCAGGGAGGGCCCTGGCGGGTCAAGGCTGAGAAAACCAAGGCAGAGGAGGCGGGGACTGCCTGGGCACAAGTGAGGCGTAACCGGTGTAGACCCCCTTAGCAGCAGCCACACAGGCGGTGCTCGGCCTCCCCCCCTGGCCACTGAGATGATGGGAGCTCCAGATGGAAGGCGTGGCAGGAGGCGGTGGGATGGGGGGGGGCAGCATGGTGTGCTCAGCTCCATGATAGTCACTGCTGCTGCTGGAGCCCCAACCATATGCCAAGCACTGCACCCCACAACCCCAGGTGGGAGGTGCCGACTGTGCCTACTTCCCAGAGAGGGAAACTGAGGCCTGGGAAGTGGCAGATGGGTGACCCCAGAGGAGCCTTGCCCCACTCTGAGCAGTCCAGCGAGGCAGACCCAGGGGATGAGCAGCTGCCCATACCCTCGACCCACCCATGTACCAGGGCCTATTCTGGAGTCCAGGCCTTGCCCTCTGGTCTTCAGTCTGGACTTGGATGCCTGAGGTGATGGGGAGCTCACCCCATGTCACATGGGACCTCTGTACCTGCTATCTCCACTATCAGGCACCCAGGTCCTTCTCGCTACATGAGAGTCAACTCAAGCCCACCTCCTTGGAGAGGCCCCAGACCTCTCCAGTAAAGCTGCCCCCCCAGTCATCTCCTGTACATCACCCTGTTTTCATTTTCTTTGCACCCTACATGGCCTCCTGTGAAATTACCAAATTAGCCATTCACTTGTTTAACGGCTTTACCCTCTGCTGTGGGAGCCCCATGAAGGTGGGCTGTCCAGGTCACTGCTATGTCCCCTGTGCCCACTACAGCATACAATAGGTACCCAATTAATAACTACAGAATTAACGAAGGAGAGAAGAGCTCCAAGTGCCTCCCCCCCCCCCCACAGAGCCATCAACCATGTCACCACCATTGCTGCCCAGATGGGGAAACTGAGGCTCAGAGAGAAGCAGCAACTGTCCCAAACCACCCAGAAGATCCAGCCTGAAGACACCCTGCCTGTGCCCACCACCGATGGACTGGCCCAGCCAGTCCCCCTGTCATTGTCCTTGTCCGGTGAGGCTAATGAGAGCCTTGGGAGCCCGACGAAAGCAGCTGGAAGGGCAGGGGGTGATTATCTGCCCTAATGGCAGTGATTCAGGCAGTGGCCAGTGATTAGCTATCCCCCCAGCCCAGGCCTCAGAGCTCTGAGCAGACCAAGACAGGCCCACAGGGTCACTGAGGCTCTAGGTCCCCAGTGATCCCCAGGGTCCTCCTTCTCTTTTGCCCCCATGTCTCCTCTTGCCTCAGACGTTCCACACTTATTGAGTGCCTACTGTTTGCTGGGCAGGGCATCAGGGACAGTGACTCCAACTTGACAAGGTTCTGGGCATTAAGGAGCCCCAGCAACACCCCCACCCGCACCCCAGCAGTGTGACCCTGGGCAGGTCATTTCCCCTCTCTGTGCTTCATCTACCAAAAGGATGTGTGGGAAGAAAGAGAGGGGTCCCTCACTCGGGCAGGTTCTGGGTTTGGATTTGCAGTGTGGGGAGTCCAGGGTTCAGACCCTAGCTCTGCTTCCACTTCCTTATGTAGCTGGGTCCTGGGGTCGCCGCCTCCCCTCTGTAAGTGGACCCAGTGACCTCAGCAACTCAACCACTCAGCTATTCTGCAAAGACCTTTCTCTGCTGCGGAGCCAGGCCAGCGTGGGGAGCTTCCTCTGGGACCCCTACCTCACCTGTGCAACCCTCCCAGCGCGTGCGCTGGACCCACTTCACGGTTGAGGAAACTGAGGCCCCCGCTGGGGAGTGACTTGGCTGACACCACACACCCTCACGGGACAGAGGACCTGGCTCGTCCTTACTCCTGCCGCCGCCCCTGTCCTTCCTGCCAGACTGCCTACCCCGCACCCCCTCCCCGAACTCACTGTCGGCACCGTGGCGCCAGCGGGTCCCCTGCACGCGGCCGCCGGGGTCCACGCGCAGGAAGAAGTGGGTGGAGGACAGAAGGCGCCGCCAGCGCACGTCGCCCTCCAGGTGTGGGTAGCTGCGCGGTCTCCGCGGACTGCTCGGGGTCCCCGCGGCGCCGGGCGCTCGTGCTAGCAGCAGCCACGCCAGGCCCAGCCACAGGCGGCCGCGCATGGCCCCGCGCCCGGCTCGCCGCCGGCTCTTGCCTCCCCCCGCGCGTCCGCAGCTCGGCCATCCCCGCCGCGGGGTTGGGGCGCCCTGCAGGGCCAGCCCGCGCGGGCCAATAGGGAGCCTCGGGGCGGGGCCTGAGCCACAGGGGGCGGGCCTGGGGCGAGAGGGCGGGGCCACGGGCAAGGAGCCGACCAGTGGAGAGGCTGCGGCTGGCCAGTGGGGGCGCCTCGGGGGCGGAGCCAGAGCCGCAGGGGCGGGGCAACGAGGCGACTGGGGCGGGGCCAGGGCGTGGGGCGGGGCCCATTCGGGAAAACTCTCCTGCCTCCGCGCGTGTTTGTCTTGCGGGGTGGGGAGTGCGTGTCCGTGAGTCACCGGCTTAGCCTGCAGGGGCTGCGGGGGCGTGGGTGTGAGAGAGGCGGGCCCGCAGAGACACGGAGGGAGACAGAGACAGAGAGACTTCCGAGACAGGGACACGGACAGCTACGGGGAGAGACACAGGGAAGGGCGGCTAAGAGAGTCCGATCTGTGAGAGACAGTGAGTTGGACAGAGACACAGGGAGCAACAGAGCTGCTCAGGGGTCAGAGACTGGGTGGGTAGTCCTGGCCTGCATGTCTGTGCCAGCCCGGCCTCCGCACTGGGCATGCCACGGGGGGGACTTGTCTGCCCTCCAAACTGGCCCTCTCGAAGAGCCAGGCCCCCAGGGCCAGGGTCTTCACTGAGGGCTGGGCATGGCATGGGGGGACATGTGGGTAGAGGGAATGTTGTGCATCCCGGTGTTGGGCAGGGGAGGGGATGGGGTGCTGTGGGCTGATGGCAGATGGACATGTGTGCATGTCTGTGGCCAGCTGACAGGGGCATGGATGATGACCGGGGCCCGCACGAGGTCCCCAGCGTCGTCCAGAGCTGCATGTCCAAGGAGGGTGGCTCCATTTACTCCCATACCTGCTCATCATTTACAGACACACCCAAGCCCCAAGCCCCACTGGGAGCCACCCTGTGCCCTGGATCCTGAGAGGAGCACGGTGAACCTTCACAGACTCAGAGCCCAGAGACGTCATTGACAGGTGGGGAAACTGAGGCCTGAGTGGGTCAGCACCTTCCCCAAGGCACCACACAGGACACATCCCAGGGCTCCAGTCCCTGCCCCTCTGCTCCCATAGGCCCAGTCCTACAGCCAGGGCCCCAGGTGGCACCTTTAAATAGCACCTGGGTGAAGACAAGGTGACAGGCCTGGCCCAGTGGAGTGGTGGAGGGGTAACCGGTCTGGCCAGAAGCCGGGATGCCTTCCTGATGGCTCTGGGGATTCCCTGATCCCTCTTCCTGGTCCCAGGAGGGCCATGTATGGGGTGTGCCTGAGCTACAGGACCCCAGGACTGAGATGGGAGAGGGTGTCCCCGCACTCGGAGCCCTGAGGCCAGCACCTGAGGGATCCTGCATGTTTGTGTCACCTCCCCAAGCCTCAGGGCCGCCTCAGGAAAATGGGCCAGGAAGAGAAGCCTGGAAGGATGGAATGAGGTAATCCACAGCCTCGCTGGGCAGAGGGCGCCGCGATGCACAAACTTGGAATAACATCCTGATTCCCACAGCCAGAAACTCAGTCTTCCCTTCCTGGAGTGTCCCCACCCTGCCCCCAGGAGGACAATCTTCGGGGCTCTGTGTGATGGGGGTGGGACCCACGCCCAGGAAGCTGTCCTGCCCCGGGTGTTGTTGGAGTTTAATAACAGCTTCATTGAAATATAATTCACATACCACACAGTTCACCCATGGAGGTGTACAACTCAAGTGTTTTCAGTACAGGGTTGTCCGCCCTCACCTCTCTCTAGTTCCAGAACATTCCGTCACCCCGAAAGGAGACCCCATCCCATCAGCCGTTGCTCCCCATCTCCCCCTCCCCAACTCCCGGCCCCCACAAGCCCCCTTCCCATCCGTGGATGAGCCTGTTCTGGACATGTCACCCACGTGGACTCACACCCCGCGTGGCCTTCCGTGTCCGGGTCCCTCCCTGAGCGTCCCCGCCCCCATCAACGGTCACTCCCCACCTTCTCCCCCGCCCCCGCCCCCCCGAGCCCCC